GAACTCCGCCGCCTTTGCACACAAGCATTAGATAACAAGAGGACGTGACAGATGCTGCTAATGCACGTATTGTCATCATAATCTTTCATATCTCCTGGTGTGTCATTAATAATCCGACTCTCATAAAGAGCAATCTATCATATTATTCCCATTACTATGTTGTCATCCTTAAGCCGCCTTTGCAATATAGTTCTGAGGCATGCCTAAACGAAGAGAACTCTGTGTCCTCCTGCTGTTATTGAAGGCAACCGTTACTGTTAGGCCACACCAAGTAATTTTGTAGATGACGTCCTCTGGAGACCCTTAATCTAATGCGAGAGCGCGAAAAAAAGAGATTTTAAATATACTGAGGGACCATAAGTGTTAGCGACACAAATTGAATGAGAGAACACAGTGTAAGAACCAACAAATCTTTTATTCGTCGTGAAAACAGCACTAAATCAGTGAAACTGCAGCAGTTGTCTTCCTGTCCTGTTTCTTTCCTTTCATCACATCTCCCACTGTCGTGACTCTTAGTCATAGTTACAGGAAGCGGAGATTTTTTCTGGGAACAGGCGAAAATCGATATCAATGCGCGCCCAGGTCATCCATGAAAAATACTTGGTGTAGCCTTACTATCAAATCAAATGTAAGAAGTTATATTGCACTTCACCAAAGAAGGTGGAAGATCTACACATCCTACAAGACCTGAACATTACATACTGATTGTTTATGCCATATAGCTCTAGTCTAATGGACAACTACCTTCAAGACTGAGGGACCACCGAGGCCGATCCCCGGGACATGTGTTGGCGCAAATGGTTTGCCACACGTCGCATCTAGGCAGGAGTAACCTTGATCTTGTACGTATGTCCTTCGGATGTACCAAAAACCCATTCAGGAAATCAAGAAGCCTTTCTTATTTGTCAAAGTGAAGAGGAACTCGCAGCCATCTACTTGTAAATGCACATCACGTCCTTCTTTTCCCATGCTATCATTTTAAAGTCGTTTCTGAGGACGACATGGAATCTCGCTGGAGTTTTCCTTTGTCCTGTACTAACTAATAGATATTCAACAACAGGATAACACAGGAAATACCCAGGTGTCACAGCTGATCGATGACAAAGAATATTTTTGCGGAAACTGCATGTCTGTGACATTTATGTTCCATATTTCAAAACGTGCCTACTTAGTGTGTGGCCTTCCGCAAACATTGTCACATGTACCACCATCTACAAAGAGAATCCAAACGTAAGGAAAACCCTGGAGATATCCTAACAGGAAGGTACAAATAAATACTGCAGTAAGTTACTTCACTCAAGCTCAGAACAGGTTAGGCAGAATGCGAAAGGGTCATCCATTTACGAGTACCAAGTGTGCCACTTGTGCATATCTACCTTTGAAGGTGTAGATAAAATATTATTCACTTGAGCTAAAGTGACATGGAATGATTTCTCATGTTGGCTTCACCCTTCATGTCTGGACGCATTGTGATACGGTTTGATGTACACGAATCTGTTAGGTGCATCCTCTGTTGATTATGACCAGGCCTCCTATCGGATGTTTAAAATAAGTTTGCTTGTTTAGCCAGGTGTACAGTTGCATCATCAGTTCGGTAGCCCATGCACGAGGGAAAACCGTCCATGTTATGTTGACATGCAGACGCCGAGCCAGTCGGCAGTGATGATCACAGTATTGCAAAACGATCCCCACAGGAGAGTTTTGTAACTTTTCTTGCTTCTTACGTGCTCTATCTTGTCAAATATAAAAAGGATGACTGGTAGAGAGAGCCTCCAGGAGAAAGTATAGCGAAAGTCTCTTTCGGCTGATAAATCCCTTATGTAAGGATCTGTTTCTGACTTCATCATATTGTTTGTCAGCTGTGACACCTGGGTGACAATGTGGGAGGCCACACACTAAGTAGGCACGTTTTGAAATATGGAACGTAAATGTCACAGACATGCAATTTCCACAAAAATATTTTTTGTCAGCTGTGACACCTGGGTATTTCCTGTGTTATCCTGTTGTTGAATTATATGAATATATTAGTCAGTACAACAATGAAGTGATGTTTCTGACTTCATCACTTCATCATTATGTAGGGATCTGTTTCTGACTTCATCATCATCATCATCATCATCATCATCATCATCGCCGCTTTCATATGTCGACGATGTCGGTCACCACTGTTTTCCACTCTCATCTGTCCCGCGCTTGTCTTCTCGCTCCCTGCCGAGTGAAACTTTATTTCTTCCGATGTACTTTCAATATCGAGGACAAAGTAAACACGTTAAGGCCTAATCAGTTTATAGTTTCAGTTGTCATGTGAGTTATCTGTATACTCTTCAAGCACCTGAAGCCAAGAATATCATCGACGACAACGGACGACAACCGTTCTATCAGAAGCCCTAAATTTCTTCACATTTTTGAATGTGCTCCTAACAATAAAAATCATATATAAATGATATTGGTTGATTGATTGATTGATTGGGAACTACATCTAAATGAATGATTGATTTCTTGCAAGGAATGTCCCAAAGCTCCAGATCTCTCATTAGAGAGAAGATAGCGACCTTAATTAACTATTCAACCACCATCATTGAGGCAACGAAGATCAATCTGTTATCCATATTATTGCTGCGCATGTTTATTGCTGGCCGTTGCTGTTTTGACAATTTTGAATGACGTTGTCAGGGTATGCATTTAATTAGTCTGCAACATGGGATTACCTGTCTCAATTAGGAGACACCTTTACGAATTACAGTCTTGGCTTACGTGAGGCATTTGGGCCAAATGGTGGCGTTCCTGTTAATTTTTGCCTTAGGCGTGCCAAGGTAATGTAGCCTGTTGAGTGCTTGTCGAAACTCTCCCAGACAAGTAACAGGTTTTCAGTAATGAAAGAAGAGTATAACTACAGGCGCGAGCTTTATCAAGAGGCCAGATAACAGAAGCTAATTGCAGAAATGACAAAAGCTGCGAGCGTTTTTATAAATTAAAACATTTTTCCGTTACTGGGAGCCGACTGACGGCGGTCGGAGAAAGTTGGGCCCTCACACAGATAAAGTCAACGCTGTTCAATCACTTCTTTGACCGGTTGGTGCGCCACAGACATCTCGGCTACGTACAATAAAAAATCAAAGGAAGAAATGATGCAAAATGAATACAATCACTCATGAGGTAGCACCATGAAGTAAACTGACCAATTTCCAGGGAATCCATATCATAGCCATTAACAATGAGATCAAACACAGCTGAAACCAAACAACATCAAACATACTGGATTCCAAGAATCTCTTCTAGACCACAAACATCATCTTTCTTCCGGACTACGTTTGAACATTACAGATCTAATGATTCACAATGCTGACTCGTGTTTGCACTGAAATGCGCGCATTTACTTCAAACAATGATCATATTCCTCCACAAGGTATAACCATTTCAATTGGAAATCTAATGTTATATGTCTCACATGTTATCATATACGTTCCTTTAACATTGTCCCAGCTGCTAGACATGAATTCATCTGCCTAGCTGCGCCCAGCCCGGACCACATCCATCCATACATGCTTAATTGTGGCCCGCACGACGTGACATCTACAAACAACAGGACTGTGACACAGATTAAGGGTTAAGACGTCTGATTAGTTTATAGTGAAGGGATACGACACGTCTCGCCATGCACCTCACCGCTGCGTGCAGAGGAAACCGATGAGACAACTTTCACATTTTCCTTGATGCTATAATATTAGACGTCGACTGCCAAAACAATGACTTAGCGAGGCAATGGCATGTTACAACGAATATGTACAGAAGGAGCAAACAGAGGTAGAACATTCAACAAGATGTAATTGAGGACATTTTGACCCTTCCTTTTGAACGTGTCTATCAGTTCCATCTTAGCGGTGTAGGTGGTTAGATAATCTCACGATAGGACAAGGTGAAGGTGGCTCTCAAGATAAAGTCAGACAACTTTTATCATGCGATCAGTAAGCTTGTCATTCGTGTATATCTCTGTACTAAAGATGCTATCGTCGGATATGGCATTTCATGGTTAACGTAACGCAAAAGAAATCAAGCAGCTGGATAAATCCCCTGAAGGGTCAGGCGGTTCAGGTAGCATCCACTATCTTTCATCAGGGACTGAGAGTAAAATGTTTCATGTTCCAGGTTTTACCTGTCCCGGGGCAAAAATGGTGTCGAGCCAAGTTGCCAGTTATCGTGAATCCATCGTTAGTGCTGCAGTAAGATTGTTAAGTAACGATATGGAGTTTACATGTACATTATGCAACAATCGCTTAGGAAGGCTTGGTCTAGCCTTACATAGACACTTACATAACAAGCTGATGTACTGCGTGACTAATCTGCCATGTAACGAAAACCCTACCTGCCCATAAATAATTACAGTGTTGAAGTGCCCAAAGTTCCTGCACAAACAAACACTATACAACATGCTGAGTAGACAGAAGGCCATCAATCTACATGGCTTCTTCACTCACCTGTTGGTCTGTCCTGCGGATCGCGTTATGACGATGGCCTGCCGACGAGAGATGGACACAGGTTAAGAAAAGAAAGTGACGCGAAACCTCTTCAGTACGCGTCTGACAGCAGACTGTTCGCTAGTATGGGCAGTGGAAAATTGTCTCTTTCTCAAGATACTGCCGCTACGCACGGGCAGATCAGTCAATTGGGATCCCCAGCTAATAACGTTGTCTTCGTCAAAGGATTTCGTCGGGGACGGTTTTTCTGGCTGTAATTCTCTTACAAGAATAGAGGCTTCGGGAACGCATAAAGCGATCCTGATAGAAATTTAATCCCCGATCAAAAGACAGGTAGATTCCAAAGGCGCCGATATTATGCTATCCTGTTTACGTTTGTGAAAAATGTTTGAAATATTGCCCAATGATATCCATGGGTTATATCAATGACTTCTGTCCTTCCTCATGTGTGTTATTATGATGTTCAGTTTGTCATGATTTGGTTTTTACTTATATGACAAACAAAGTAGCCGTTACGTTCTCTGAAGCTGCACACAACTTCAAAAGGGAGATTGTATCGCCGGCATCTCCTAAAATGGATTTCTTTCTTTATCTCATACATTAACGTACAAATATCTTCAGAAACACTGTATCACCGACTCATGTACCAATCTATGGTCCTGTGAGAGCTCCAAATCACTCCGAGTCACTTAAGCAAACGTCTGAAGCTACCTTCATCCCTGTTTCCTTCAGGCTTTTAGACGAAGGATATCACCATGTGATGGTAGCATAGCTCTTACGTGTATATGCTCATTCTTGAATGGTTATGACTGTTTTTTCATAACATTTTATCACACATTATCTTTTGATTATCTAAGAACGATTCTTAGAATAAGATTACACCAACACAATATTACAAGCAGAAATACAAATCTACATTTAATATAGAAGAGGCTCCTATTAGGGATCATTTTATTCAATATGTCAATTGCAAGTTGTAATGTGGAATTTACAGGCAATAAAATGCTTTTAACAATGAGTTGAAAATGCCAAATGCTCGTTAACATGACCCAGTGGAGACAAACGTATCCTATTAACAGGCCGAGTTATCTCGTAATCACGGTCATCTATCGGGACATGGATATTCAGGATTATTGTAATATTGAAAATGTGGTAATCAAATTAACATACATGATTGAATTTATCGATCGGACCAGGGCTGTCGTAATCAAATTACTTCGGCATTCTTGGATCCTCCGGCGGACAGAATTCTGTACGGTTGTGCCTGCTTACATTTACACGAGATGGTGATTCATCTCAATCTGAAGGGCATACTGGAAGCGGAACAGATCTCTGATAGGTTAACTTCGACAAAAAGTTGAGTGACCTTGATGCACAAACTATTTCAACTGGTGGGTCTGCAACCGGAACTTATCCTTGAAATCAACTTATTTCCTTTCATTCCGATCATACGTGACTGTTATATCAACTCATCTATCCATTTGGAGTTGTGGTACATGAAACAAAATGGCGGACACAATGTGCGTCTACATGTACTTTGATTCATGGCTATATTGAACTAAAACGCCGAAATGAGATCCATGTTTCACAGTGCGAATAAAACTCATCGCTGTAGCCTATAGCTACCAGTGTTTCTGCCTTCCATGTGTAACGCTGTTAATTCTAACTACTTAGTAATTAGATGGGAGGTTGGCAAACTTGAGGTAAACAGGAAAGCCCTTAGGCTAGGGAAGAAAGGTGTCCACGAACATGATACATTGTGGGTATCATGGGTCTTGTTCTGGTGTAAATATGCACAACCAAGTGTTAGACAGCAATGGGCTTGGAAAACAAGAGTAGCTAAGTTGAGAGACGAGCACATCTGCAACCTCTTGGATTAAAGAGACGTTTCGCTCTTAACTCAAAGCCCTCAAGTTTGAAATGGTTAGCATCATACAAGTACATGTAGTCTCAATACACTTACCAGATCATGTAAAAGCTCATCAACAACAAATGATTTATAAACATGAAGAGCTTTGGACGACAGCGACATTGAATACCATTTTATTAAATATCTTACATGGGCAAGACTATACATGGGCAATTCAAACTCTACTACTGAATAAATTCTTTGTTTCCACGTCCTGACACCAAGGTGCGGGTGACGAGATGACATTCCAGTGAGTATACCTACACAAACACGGGGAAATCGCGTCTGTTGTTCTCAATGGTACCGGCCACTATGGTGAACACAAAAATTACTTCCACTCTCATGCACTTTGCCACACTTCCTTTTGTTACCGTCTATAAACTGCAATTTTGTTCTTGGGACTGGTACGAAAGGTCACCCAAAACAAAGCAGACAGGAGAAAACCCTGGATTTATCCGTAATATATCAAACAACATTTAACATCGTAGAGGACGAGATATGGTCTACGTGTGGAGGCAGTGTAATGTTCAAGGCGTCGCCAGCGCAGCGCTACCAGCTTAACAACGTAGATATTGTGTATCAGTAATGAGCCGATGGGTTTTAAAGCCTAAATCTATTCCCTGTGGTACTTACGTGTCAGGCGTAATGTCACATGAAACAATTAAGCGCAATTAGGACATCTCGAAAGGCTTGAATTAACGGCAGTATTCCATGTCCTTGGGCCTCCTGAGAGTATCGGCACCTGAAGCGGAGTGCACGGAGTACTCACAGACTAATCAGTAGGATAAGGAGACTTTTATCAATTCCATTAAGAAGTCAGAATGCAAGATATCTAATTCGACAAACATGACTAGGAAGACTAAAGTGGAAGGAATAACGAGTGAAAAGATCGCCTAAGAATAGCACTAGGCAATAGAATTCAATGGCAAATTGCGTCCTTATCCAACTTTCAAACAACTTTTTAACGAGCAGTTCTATTCACCGCCGACTTCACAGTTTCAAACCGACTTGTTGACTAGAGATGATTTTGTTTGTTACGTTTGAGAACAATCCAGGACAGAAATGGAAAAGGAACAGGTGTCTCCAATTGGTAATTAATTCACCGCCCGAAGATGAAGTTCAATAACCTTAAGTATCAAATTCAGTCTCTTTATCTGGTCCTCTTGATCCTACAACATGGAGCAGGTGTCCACAGGTAATTGCTTCATCGCCTGAGGATAAATTATTAGAGCGGGGTTGAACGACGTTATGACTCAAATTCAGTTTATATATAATCTCATCTCCCGTACCCCGGGTAATGTTGTTTTGTTGATAGCCTGAGTACGGACGTCTGAAAAACGTGAGCCGAGAATCCTTACGAAACATGCTATCTTGCTGGGAGCATTTTTGCCTGCAGGATTTATTCTGATGAGGACACGTGTTTTGTACGGTCCTGTCGTGTTTATTATGTTTGCTGTGCATATACATGTACATGGAACTGGTAAAATGAATGCGCCGGATGGTTGTTTGGTGCAATGGCATATTTTACACCATGCAGACTTAGCCCCAACTGACGAGGTCGCCCACATTTTAAGACGGCCAACTAAAATTACTATTCTGACTCCAGATGGCCTGATTTTGCACAGTATGTTGGCCATTCGAATTCAGAAACTCACATATCGTCTCTTGAAAAATGTACAAAAAAAACCTACTGAACATCCCCATGATATCATCATCAACATCATGATGAACTCACCCGAGAAAAACTCTTTTTATTGTCCTGTCGGCTGTACGCTTTACAAAATGTGAACACGGGTTTACTCTCAATGTATACAGAGATAACTTTGTTGAGTCTGTTAAAGCACTTTTTATTACTAGATATTTGTTTGAATTCCCTCACCCAACCAGAAATACTGACTGCTGCATCACAAAGACAAGCCTGGTAGCAAATTTGCTTCCACCTCCCCCTCCTTCCCAAACGACCATGGACAAGATAGGTAGGTAAGTTTCTATCAGTGTGGTACGTAGAAGATCAGAGAGGGGGCGCTAGCGAGTGGTATCATACAAAGTAATTCTAGTAAAACTAACTGGTATGTGTCTGTGTAGATCTGTTCATCACGGTGCGCTACTCGTACCTCCCTAAAAGATCACACAGTTTTGTATTCCTCAGGCTTTGGAATGTTGGCAAGTCTGTGCCACAAGGGTAACTAGATAATAGCCACCACAAAGCCAAAGCAAATCATTTTCTACACTTAGGCTCCCCACTGCGAAGCTCTATTCGACAGTGTAGTCCGTACGTGTTTGGTCGGGCATATTCTGGCAATGCTTTACTTAAACAAGTCACGAATCTTTTTAAAGTTGGGTTAAACAAAAAGAGGCATGGCACCGGGTATACAATGAAGCCACCTGGTGGAGTTCCGCGGACACTGTTGTGAAGGTAGGATAAAAGTTTATAAAGCCCCCTTTTGATGTTGGCTATGAGCTGAGTCTGGGCTTACGTGAGTACAACTGCCACACCTGCACAGCGCGTCACTAACTACTGCGTTCTTGGTCCGACCTGTTGAACCACTCTCCTCCCATGAACCCATCACAATTACACCACAGAAATGTCACCGGGTCAAAACATCCATCGATAACAAGTTACATCGGTCTGCCATTTCAGAGTTTCAGGTGGCACACAGTGATGACCACGATGTTTCTTAACATTTCAAACGTGTTAGGAAGGCGGGAGTGACAAACTATCTCTCTGTGTACCATCCCAGCTAGCCAACTAGCCAACTGAATATTTCAATTACTATAAAGCACCAAGGAGAAAGATCATGAGACGTGACTAGCATGATGATATAGAATTTGTACTGTCTCTAAATCTGTCTCCCTCACTTTTGCAAAATGTTACAGTGGTCGAGTTATATCTTCTGAGTGCCTCAGCTTTCTGGAAAAGTGCATTGCTTTCCAAGTTGACGTTTTCAGATCAAAACATGTGCCGTCTGTTGTAGGTTCAAAAGTGCGTTCGTCGCTTCGGTAAACATCGAAGCCGTCGATCAACTTTTAAAATCAATTCACTCCGCTAACTTTTGTTTGACCTCGCCCTCAGTTTGCAACGAGTCACTAGTCGGCACGCTTTTGCCTTATCTACCAGTCCTGCTTTATCAGCTTACTGATGAACTACATCCGCCAAGTTTGGGTCAAAAGTCTTTGAAAGTAGGACAAACCTGTTGATCTCCTGGTGAGTTACTTTTAATTGTTTCTGAAGACCCCCTCGTTTCTGACGTGACAAACATTGTCAGTAGTCTCCCCATCCATGTTCAGGCGACGCCTGAGGTGCATGTATACAGGACAGGAATGTAGGCTCCTGCCGTCTGCTCGAAGTGTAGAATACAACCAAGTCTCCTTTATTGTTGCGTATCTGTGCGGACAGTGTACAGCCTACAGGTTAAAGGGACACTGATAGGTCAGTTACCTGTGTCCTTCATGGAGTGCTCTGACCTCTATTCTGGAGCTTCACCTGGACGGACAGCTCCTGACCATGCAGTTACCCTTTTTATCGTTTCTACGTAGCACGATTGACTCATTTCTGAAGTCTATTAGGGAGGTGTCCATGTGACATTGGTTCCAGCCGTTGTGCAATGGACGCCAATCGAAGGAAAATTGTCGACACTTTTCCAGTGTCCCTCCCTCCCAGGTCACATCATGACGGGACAGCGGCATGTGGGCAGACAATGACCCATTATGTAGTGCTCGCGCGTCCTGCCTACGGGCGACAACATTTTTGTCGACCAGACTAGTTGTCACAAGTGCTCCACAAACTGTACAGTCTGGCACATGAGGGGGGGGGGGCTGTTACATGTAGATGTAGGCCGTAGGCAGTCCCATTCATTATTCTTTTCCCAAGTGTTACAGTACTGACTGAGAGATTTTCAGGTATGTCATAAATCCCCTCCTCCTACCACGACTACAACGGTCCGTCCCTAACAGAGACATCGACTCATCAACGTGCTTTTTACCTGGTTTATATATCTATTTTTCACCATAATTTCACTTAAAAATAAAATATATCGATAACAAAAGCGCATCAATGTTTTTGAAGCGACTTTGAACGCCACTCGTGGTGATGAAAATTGTATAGCACCGTCTCCTCGCCATTTTGCCTGATATTGTCTACCTGTACGTCATATGGCGTGCTGAATTGTAAAACATCTTTAGTAAAGATCGACAGTAGCGAGTGAAACGTTTCGTGTGGCAGTCTTCCAATGGTTCTATCATATAGCAAAGGCGCAAGGCAACGTATCCCTCGAAGCTATGGCCACATACCAGTTCAAGGGTTCTTAGATGTCATGGGGTCACCTCACCTATAATACTACTCAGTCACAACAAAGAATAGGATGGCATTATAGCGATATAAACTATTCATAACAAACAATGCGAGGGAAGGGTACGACAAAAGGTCACGTTTTCCCCTTAAGCGCGAGGTTTCTTCTCCCCCCTCTCTGTCCTAATATTACGGCATGTGTTGCAGGGGCTATTATCACTAATGGCAAAATTCCTTAAAGGGTGTGTCACAATAAGGACGTGGCGCATGGCCACAGAGATACCCAGTTAGCGGGCAACTCCCACGGCACGGCTGACTCAGAGTCCCTGCGTCCCTTGCGCTCTTTTGTTCAGCTGTGTTTTAAGACCGGGTGGGGTGACGTACGTCAAAGCCGGGCCAGGCGGGCAGCCATAGGGGAGACCCAGCAGCAAACTGCACTTTTCCGTGACGGGACGCCTTGTCTCAGCGTCGTGAGGAAACCGGCGTCAGCATGCCTGTGATAACGGTGAGTCAAGTCATTCTGTCCCACGACGTTTCCAGAACGGCTTCCCAGGCGTCACCATGACCAGCAGAAATGACAAGAAGGCGGGTGCACGGCTGGAATACTTATGTTGGTGCCTTAGCGTGGTCTGCACCCTGCATAGCAATGGATCCATCTATGCGAACAGTATATTGACATTTGGCGAACCCAAATTATGTAACTATTTCTAGCGATTGTAAGAGTTTGAAGAAGCAAAACATGGACATTGTTTATGATACTTTCTCTCTGGCAAAAAAGGTGGCACGATGCATAAATTATGCATGAGGCGCTTTCACAAGGTCAGAGTAATTTTGCGTCTTTGTCACAACGCATCGTTAAGACCCACCCTATACGGGAGCTTTTCTGAGAATGTTCCCAAATTAGGCAAGGTTTACTCCACCCTGTCCGCCATCTTGGACAGGCTAGTGTATGTTTACCTGTAACTAACAGAACCTGAAGAGCAGACAGGTATGGAGAGACATGGACATGTACTGTATGGCAACTGCGCAATGGGAGCAATAAAGCCCGTGGCCACCTGATCGATGATACTCGTATCACTAACAATAAAGCAGAACGTCAAATTATGATATGATCATTGCAGACCTGTCGTCGACACAGTTCTAGTCCATGAAAGACATACTACTTGAAATAATTTCACACAGGACTTTGAGAGTCTACGTTCAGTGAAACTCACACGTGTGGAGTTAAATTCAACATGGATCCTTTTTTTTACCAGATTCAGTACATGTTTCTGAGGTTAAATTCTTGGAGATTCTGAACTGGACACGCCTTCTTTTGAACTTGTGAGCCCCTTGTCACTCTCGTAACAACAGCTACATGTATCTTACTGTATCTCTGCAAAGAGCTGCAACTGACAAGACTAGATTGCTACGTGATCAGTGATAAATTGCGAATGATCTCGAGTTTTTGATTTATTAGTTTTAGTATTGGTGGGATTTCCTCTCCATGTGGCATGGTATCATAACGCTTATCCACCGATGACCTGCGGGGAAAATTTTCCCTTTTTTTTGAGTAAAAAGACCGGCATTGTTCCGTTGACCTCCACAATTGAAGGAGCGGTAAGGTCACATTTTTGTCCGACACAGCCAGTTAACCGAGACAACAGCCCCCGAGCTACCCGTGTAGCACAGAAACATAAAGCCGCAGAATTACACACAAAACCGGGCAGGATTTTACCCGACGAAGAATGTAAAGAATGTAGAAAAGGCCACAAAATATCAAGTTACCTACATTTGGCATGGGAGTCTAGGTCTTGGTATCTTACTTAATGCAAAAGGTATTCCTTATGACATTCAAATCATATCACGTAACATGATATGATGATACAACTTATTACTGCAGCAAAGCTGTAATTTGACTATACAATGGAAACAGTTATTAAATGTTATAGCTACATATGCAATGTAAGTCGAATCGGTGTTAACCAATCTATTTCACCTTTAGTGTGATATTTATACTGCCTTTTTCTTAGACGTTGAAATATCTAATATGTCGTGTCATCAATACCGTTCGTTACGAATCAATTATTGACGACCTCGTCCACGGTTAACAGCATGCAAGCGTGAAGAGTACTTGGATACAATTGTTCGAGCAGTCATTGTGATATTGGTATAGTGTTATAGGCTTATACATATAGTGAGTGAGTTATCCTCAGTTGTGTCATTGTGAAACGCGCGTTTTGTATACATTTGTAGATTCCCACCAGCTCTGGTCATATGTAACCCTTTGGATTAGGGACTGCAACCGCTGAGCGACCAAATGTTTGGTCACTCAACAAATTTTCGAGACAAAGAACGTATTTTTTTATTTTGTATTTTTTATTGTCTTTAAAGTCATACATTTGCATCGTGTATAATATTCCAGTCATAGATCGAGGGTTGATCCAATGTTGGTCGCTCAACGGTCACTGAGCGATCGGTGTTTTGATCTGTAGCACGGCAGCGAGAGGACATGTTTCTATCAGGCTACCTGTAGCAACAACGCTAGTAGACTGAATTACTGTGGACATCCTAAAATAAGTTCTCTTACCACGGTTTTCCTGAACAGTCTTTGTTATAAATTTATTATAATCACTGTTCAAACCAGTCTTGGACATTGCACAGTCACTAGTCTACACTCAAGGACATCATTATATAGAATATATACTACATAATGTCCTTGGTACATTCAAAAGCAGAAGATGTAGTTCCCCCACTGGAGCCTCGCGTGTATTGTCGCTGTGCAGTCGACTCTGTGTTCCTGGCCGGAGGGTTCCCCGCGACTCAGGCATGATTAATGTCTATGTGAAGTGCTCAGGACGTCTTGTGGGTAGTTCATCTGGGTACAGCTGCGTAGCTTGACCTTTATCATGATGTATTGTATAGTTGATGCATAACTCACACAATCCGAGTTGATAAAAATGAGACTGTCACCTGTGCTTGCTTTAAAAAAATCTTTAAAAAAATGTTAACACTGAGAAGAATGTGAATATGTATGTGACCTTGATGAATCTCCACGGAGACCTTTGGGGGAACGAAAAATTAACGTACTCCTCTACACATAACTAACTAGCTTTAACTTCATATGGCTGAAGACATGGTTAGATTACTGAAATAAGATTTACAAGAAAATGTCATCACTTCCTTTATATAAGTATAATTAGTTCCCTATAATTGTATCCCCCCTGCCTTCGTCTCAACAGCTAGTTCAGATTATATACTAGGCTACAAGAATTCCCCTGGGGCACTGGGTTTTTTTAACGCGTTCATGCCTAATCGTATTGATACTGTCGAAGTATAAGAAGGCTTTGTTTGTTTTATGACTTATGACCTTGATGACTTGACGAACCTTGACCTGCTCCGCGGGGTCAGAGAGAGACCTGTGGCGGGAACATTGAACCACCATATTCTGATGTTAGAAGTCAGCAGCACAGTTCCCGTACCGCGCACTAAACTCCATGTTTGTTTATTACCTTTACAGCACGGAGGTTCTGTAAGCGGGGAGGGAGAAGTCGAGGTGCTGGTAGGAGACTGGGAAGACACCGGTACCGACATGTATGACGGCTACGGCTACCGGGCGTCCGGGTACAGGGGAGATCCCATCGAAATGACCCGGCTGGACACGGGATACGAGAGTGTCCGCGATCTGGACAATGGGTACCGGAATGACGTCGGGACTTTGCAAGAAATCAGCGTGTCACGCTTCACGTCAAGAGATTATGCTCCAAGGGGCACGTACCGGGAGTACGAACGTCCGAAGTACATGAACGGAGGTCCTGCCAGGGAAAGGGTGCGGCAGGTGAGCGGGGACTACCGCAGGATCACAGGGCCGTACCGCGACTCGCAGTATTACTCCTTGGGCAGGCGAACCATGTACAGGGATCCTCCCAGAGATAGGTACCAACCGTACCAACAGATAGTTCCGTATGGCACCGTGCATCGTCAGGCAGAACCACCCCGGCAAAGGGACGACCAGCCAGTCCGCCTGGTGCAGTACAGCAAAATTGTGGACGGCCCCCGGCAAACGCCGTGTGGACGAGGCACCTTGGGTGACGGCGAAAAGGCAACCAGTCCGGGAGAAGACAAGGACTCCAATTGTAAGGAAAGAGTCAGCCATTGATGACAGCTGGGTTAGTGTAAAGGTTAAAGACCACCACCGAGCACAACCCATACCTAGCCTACCCCGGAAAGATGTACCCAAAGTTATGAGTGTTCCGGAGCCCACCACTGTAAGTCATACAAGGCCGGACCCCTCGTACATACGGGCGCCTCGGTCAACTGCGATCGAAGGACCATCAATGTCAGAGCCGATCATCAGGGCACCCGTACCAGCCGCATCCGAACCGCGCCGAGTGGAGCCAGCTAGAATGCCCATCGCACCAGTTGCGGTCCCTATCGTGGCCTCCTCGATCGTACGTGACGCCCCTGCTGTAAGCATGCCCACTCCGCCACGAGTTCCCACGCCTCCATCCATCCGGGCAGCCACTCCCCCCGACGTCTACAGGCCTGAACCACTCCGCATGCCGACTCCTCCGCCTGTTGCTCCACCCATCCCTCCGAGAATACCGACTCCGGAACCGATCCGTGCACCCACCCCGCCACGTGTGCCCACCCCGGAGCCCATCCGTGCTCCTACACCGGTGTTCCACGCGCCACCACCTCCTGAACCAGTTCGTATACCGACCCCGCCGTCAGTACACGCCCCCACACCTCCCCACATCCCTACTCCCCCACGCGTGCCGACCCCACCGTCAGTACATGCTCCCACGCCCCCTCACATCCCCACTCCACCACGTGTGCCGACACCCCCCGCATTTGAAGCACCACAGGCGCCAGAAGTTGACCTCCCAAGGTTCTCCGCTCCTGGTGCTCCGGATATAGAGGGTCCACGTTTCAGCGGTCCGGATCTAGATGTTGACGGTCCGGACCTCTATGCACGACCCGGACGTCTCAGCGGTCCGGATGTGAATCTGGACGGTCCGGACATTGAGGCACCACGATTCAGCGGTCCGGATGTAAATCTGGACGGTCCGGACATCGGGGCACGACGAATCAGTGGTCCGGATGTAAACCTCGACGCTCCGGACATTGAGGCACCACGATTCAGCGGTCCGGATGTAAATCTGGACGGTCCGGACATCGGGGCACGACGCATCAGCGGTCCGGATGTAAATCTCGACGCCCCTGTCGTTGAGGCACCACGATTCAACAGTCCAGATGTGAACGTTAACGCTCCGGACATTGAGGCACCACGATTCAGCGCTCCGGATGCCCGTGTCGGCGCTCCGGACATTGAGGCACCTCGTCTAAGCAGTCCGGATATTAACATGGATGCTCCTAATGTCAATGCACCAAGAATGAGCGGCCCGGAAGGAAATATATCTTACGATCCCAACTTACCAAGAACACAACTGCAAGGACCGACTCCTGCTGCACATGCCCACGCCCCTAGCCCAGACGGGAGCCCGAACTGTTGTCAGAGATGTTTTGGGAAACCGAAGAGGCCAAAGACGAGGACACCGACGGGGCAAGTTGCGGCACCGGTGGGGGCTGTGGCGTATCCCATAGATCCACCATATCACGTGCAGAGTCCACAACTCCAAGGTCCAAGTGGCTACGATGGTCCATCAGTACAAGCACCTTACGTCCAGGCGCCAAGAGGTAGCTTAGAAGGCCCTTCTATGCAAGCACCTTACGTCGAAGCGCCAAGAGGTAGCTTAGAAGGTCCTTCTATGCAAGCACCTTACGTCCAGGCGCCAAGAGGTAGCTTAGAAGGTCCTTCAATGCAAGCACCAGGTGTCGAGGCTCCCCGGGGAAGCTTGGAGGGCCCAGCAGTGCACGCACCTACCGTACAGGCACATGGGCCAGACATGAACACGCCTGGGTATCAGGTAAGTCCTACAGATTGATTGACATAATTAATGTAAACACCTACAGGTTCAACAAGATCACATTCACTCAATAAAAATGTAGATGATTTGCCTTGGCCAGTGACATACCAGCAATAACACTTTATCACGAGGAGGCCTGTGTCATTGTCTATTTTCGATACACTTTGGACGGTCAATTCTGAAATGATTTGTGCCAAAAGTCTAAAATGTCAAATCACTAACCTTGGGCAATGACTCTCCAATAGTTATGCTCATGGTCGTTCAAATTTTTATCATTAAATATACTTCAAGCATAGATAATGTCCTAGTGACGGTTTCCATTAGCAACATGATGCCCACACTTTGCCTTCTATTTGACAGAATAATTGCAAGACCAACTGTTCATAATAAATGCATAAATTATACAGTATACCAATCTGTTTACATAAATATAAATTTATACTGTAAATACCTACACACACACACACACACACACACACACACACACACACACACACACACACACACACACACACACACACACACACACACACACTAGAACTGATATTCGCATTTGTATACTGTAAATACCTACACCTACGCCCCGGTACGACCAGGGATGACTCATGTGTGAAAAATGCTGGAAGGGCAACGCCCGAAGAAGAAATGATTTGGACATAAACCGCAGAGTCCCGCCATTGTTATCTGTGTCAGGCTGAATTGTTCCAGCCATCGCTGCCACTATGCTATAGATCTCTTCTGGTATGGATTTCCATAATGCTGGGCGCTTCTTGACACTGACTGCTAATTCATATCTGTCGTCGCTATGATACTACTGTGACTGTCTACGAAATAAAGGGCATAACGTCATTTCATCGAACTATTCTCTGTTGATACCCAAAACAAATACAACCTTCGACTAAAATCCAAACCACATTTTTTAATAACGCAGCGTATGTTAAGACACACCCTCTGCAATCTTAATACTAGATTTCACACTGTTGAAAGCAAACATATCATGTTAGTGCCCCATTGCTCACTCATGTGTGCACGTGTGTATGTTATTGCTCAGAGACCTGACATCAACTCCCCCACACATCGAGAGAGTATTGACAATCCCAGCTATCAGTACCCTCCTCCAAGAGTGGATGGACCCCAGGTGAGCGCGGAACACACACCTACATACTCATGTCTACAATGGCTAAAAATCACTTTGGTACCAGATACACACAGTGGGCGGGGTTGAATTCATGAACTCACGGTGCTCAAAAGTCTCTATATTTACCCAGCTTCAACTTGTATCACAAGACCTATAATCATCCGATCAGGCGCTACATTACACATGGATCATTAGCGCATTTTAACAACTGTTTTGCTTGTGTTATTTGCTTATCCTGTACAGGCTGATGTTGGCACTCCGGGGGCGGCAACACCACAGCCGACCTTCCAAGGTCACGCGCCATCCAGTCAGAACCTCATTGACCCGGAAGACAAAGGATACTGCCCAGCCTGCGCGTAAGTGTACTTCCAGTTCAATGACAATAATGAGCTAGTAAAAACATCACCAATGTCATCGAATTCTTCTTTGTGAACAGGAGAATGACAACATTTTGGCAGACTCACTTGACTGTTTTTTTACACAGAGCAGTAGTTAGTTGTGTGTCCCTTGCAAATGTCATATGAATCAAGTGTATACAAACAGTAAAACATCTAAATTTACATGAATATTTTTACTTGCCATGTTTGCCTGCAACTCGCATGGATTACAACCTGACGAAATGATACGGACCAAGACGCACACTCTTCCATGCTCTAACAAAGAAGAAAGCCCGCTTTTAAAGTTCAAACATTTCAACCAACACAATAAAGTTCTCTCACCTAGAGCTTTTGACCAATGACTCTTGTCTTCGTCCATGAGGTTTGTCACGAGGCTTCTTTGAAGTGTGACGTCAACACAGCTGGGTCAAAGGTATCTGGTAGACGATGTCGGCCACCGTCGCGGTTGAAAGAACCTTGATGTGGTACCTTGTTTCTCACAGTTGTTGCAGCTTACCGTGCTTCAGCCTCTGCCCGAAGGCCTGCAGACGGCGACCCAACGCGCCCAGCCAGCGCATGATCAAACAAGCGAACCTGGAGGATGAGAAGTTCGGCTGGATCGGTGTGGGGGTGCTGGCACTGCTGGCTATAGCCGGGATCCTCATGGCGCTCGGCTTCATCGGGTACTTTTCAGGAGGTGCGTAATTAACTTGTTATTGCCACTGTTCAGAACATCTTATTGGTCTCCGCCTTATCTTTGTGATTTTCAAAAATAAAAATCGTCATATCCAAATAAATAGTTCCCATGTGAAAGTATAACCCTGTTACCACGCAGAAGAGTCTGCAAACACTGTGACGAGGATTGTGAGGTGACATTTGTACTAACAAACAAGGGCTGGCTAACTGAAAGATGATCAGACATGTCTCCATTCTTTGGATAATTCTTTACGTAATGCGTGTATCATAATCAGGAATGTGTCGTTTACACAGTAAAAATAAAATCGGGACATTTCGTCTTTCTTTAACAGGAACAGCACCCGTCGCCGGCCCTAGGCCTGCGCCCTGAGACTGTGTCCACAGACATCTACAAAAGAACATCTCTGGCTGAAGATTGTGAGCAGCTAGTATAACAACTTTGTGGTTACAAATATGGGCATATTTTATTTTCATCATACATATATCCAGTAATCAAATTGTTAATTCGTCAGCAAACTTATTGAGTTTGTCAAATGTACTTAACCTATGGAGTATCACGCTTTTCAAGCTTAGGTATTGTTATCGGATTTCCCAACTTTTACAAAAAGTAGTTACGGGCATATCACACTAGACAATTATTTGTCCTGATTTAAATTTCTCTATAATTACAGACTATACAAGGATATTGGACTATAATTTGGTGCTCCCATGGTTCACTGTCATTTTCTTTACCATTTTGTACATTAAAAAAAATATGTTGAAGCTTAAAGGAAAATTACAAAAGGAACAAAAAGAATGCCCCTTTATTTGCAACAATTTTATTGCTCTTTTCAAAATAGCAAATATATGTCCTCTTAGTCATATTCAATACTACGAATTTACGTAAACTAAGGGCTCAACTAGGGTGACTGGAATGGATCTTAGTATAAAAGGGCCACAGTGGAATTGCCGATGCAACTGTAGCGCAAAAGACAGGCCAGGGCCTATTTTGTTGTCGCGGATGCATCATATTCCATTCACACATGTCACATATATATGTTGGTACATTGTGGGCCTGTCCTTTGATTCATGTATAAATGCGCAGTCATGGTTGGTAATGACTGACTGATGTCAGTAAGCCCTCATTATTCTATAAGGACTGTACTTATTGCAAAACGCTTTTGTGTGACTTGTATCCTCAATTCGTAGATAGAAGAAGACTATTACGTATGTATATTTGTGCTTTATGTTTGTAATGCGTTGTGTTGTATACACTATATGTCTGTGTATTTGGAAAAAACACAACTGGTGGCGTGTTGGTATGCTATGGCTTGCTTTATCTGCTAGATGCTAAAATACCTAGTCCTAAAACGATATTTTCATACCTTTTAACTTTTATACATAAGATGTCAGAGTTTCATAAAGATATAGATTTTATATCACGTCTTGGTAATGGTGTACAAAATTGTTTTCAAGAAACAAACTTCAAACAGAAATTAGTTGACATTTCTTGTATCGGGTGAACATTTGTGGTGAGAAGATATAATTTGTTTCTAGGATAAAAATGATTTCGATTGCTTGTAAACTAAATAAGCTTAAGCATGATAATATTTTACATATATAGCGTTACATGTTACTGATATATTCTATTTATGATAGTTCTGTATATTTCTTACGTCGCCATACAAATGAAAGGGTCCAGGGACTGTTTCCGGACAGATCGGTAAATGTATGGCGCTATGCAGTGGGCAGAAAAAAACATATCAAGTGAGAAAATGAAAGCAAAGAAGAAGGCCATTGAAAGGTCGGCGGTATGTTTGAGATATAGAGGGCTAAGTAAATACTAAGCACGTAAGGTCATCCCCATCTACTAGTTGCAGTTGTTATATATATACATGTATATGTCAACTTTTGCTTGGTTTGCAATGGTATATTAATCTATTGTTCGCTTTTCATATAACCAATAAAATGTAGTGTTAGAACCGACTGCCTCATGTTTTTAATTTGTTTTATCATGAAAAATAGGAAAGCGTAAACCTTTTGTTTGGGCCACGCTATATCTTCATATATTTCTGTTTCCCTTTATATCTAGAATCAACATCAGAATTTTTGTTGTCGTTTTATTGATAATCAAAGCTAATTTCTTGTATTTCTTTGAGCAGTGTCAATTGCATTTGACTATTTGAGGTAGCCAAGATTAACATCATATTATACTTCAAAACGTGATATTTAGGTCATATTCATATCAGTAAATGTCACCGTTCTCACAAAAAATCTATTTACATCATCAATCAGTTGCAAACAATACCGTTTGGCCCAAAGGTTGCGTTTACCTCATGTTATTTTAATGCCGCCGGCTGGCCCGGTGAGAGGAAGGCTCACTGTCGGTCACGCAACGATCGATCAGGGGCGCGCATGCGCAGTAGCGGGGACACAGCTCGGCAGATGATGACGCAGTGTCCTTCTGGGCTGTCTATTGTCTAGGGAAGCGTGACTAACAGAACGGTGAGGCGTGTTTGTGTTGTAAATTCTTGACGTATTGGTACTTGTTACAAAGGAAAGGATGATGAAATAGAAAAATATAATCTGTAAACGCAGCCGTACTAAATGATAATTATCACGTCCTCATTAAGGGAGACGTTAGAGGTTAATTATTTATTGGTCGATTTCCTGTAGTTATTCTCATCAACCTATATTTCTCATATTTCCGATATTATGTGTTCAGCTGCAACCATGACTCGGTATTTTCATACATGTTGGGAGGAAACACGGTTCAAGTCCGTTTAAATTATTTACTACTCACATGTACATTAAGATCATCACATTTTACATGTACGTCGCAAGTACATCACGTGAACAGATTATACACAGAAATGCCCTGTACCGTCGTCCATGATTACAAAAATATATTATTCGCGTGGGGGAATAATATCAGGCAATACTAGACAACGACCTTGATGTAGAATACATGTATTCTTATTGTTTTCCGTAAAAAAAATCAATATCTATAGATTGCATGGTTAACAAAAGTAAGATCATAAATTGTAATTCTTAAGGTAATAGTTGTAATTGTCCCATCACATTTATCGGTTGCATTTTCATGTTTCCCTCCCTATCTATTATTCGGAAAAGCAATTATGGCCCAGGCGAGACCACTTCTCTCACGGGGGTGGAAGAACGACCTGGAGGTGGTCAAAAACCTGGTATCTATTGACCTGGCTCGTCCTGAAGGAAGGAGACAAGTGAGTGTACAAAGCATCAGCACTCCATGATTATGGGGAGCATTGTGTTTCCTCTCAAACCAGACATTTATAACGTTACATATTACATATTAAACGTTAGTTTTACATCGAGCATCATGACAGTCGTTGTTTTCTTCCATGAATCTGTGTGCAGTGATACCTACTTACCTAAATATTTTACCATCTTATGCCAAGTACGGTAGAAAAGATTACATGTTGATACGACAGCAAAAGCCTACGAGTTGTTTAGTGTTAGTATCATACGTAGGACTTACTTTATGATTTAAATATTCAGACGGTGATTGATAGATATACATGAAAGCTAAAGATTCTTTGCGCCCATCCCCATATATGAAATGGATATGTGGTAACATTAATATTTGTTCTCTCCACAGGTCGTAGAAATTGTAGAGACTCTGAAGACGAAGCTTACCATACCGGACTGGGCACGTCGTCAGCTGGCCGGGCGGGTTCGCAGTTCTTACCGGAACCTCGCCTGCTACAACCTCGCCACGGCAGCTGGGGTGGCGTGCACGGTGCGACAGTTTGTATGCAATACTGCTGTCTTTCATACATTTGCGCCAAGTGCAATATGGACCGGTTATATATACAGTCAAACCTGTATAAGTAACCACCTCTACATAAGGACCACCTGGCCAATGTTATCACTCTTTGTAGTCCCTCATGAAATTTTCCTATTGACACAAAGGTTAAGAATCTTGTCTACAGTGGCCACTTGTCCAATCACCAGACTTTTGCGGCCCTGAGCGGTCTTCTTGGGCAGTTTTGCCTGCATACCACTATGCGTAATTCATACCATTAGCCTCTAGAAAGTAACTTTCCTCACACTTGTTCTAAAGCATAGCAATGTTCACCGTTTCAATCGGAGACAGATTATCTAAATTTCAAATATATATGAATATCACCTTCTGTTACAGGCTCTAGGTTCCGTTGTCACGTATGTGGACCTGGTGGAAAAAATGGAAAAGAGTGGACCGATCCCAGATGACATCATGGAATCTATCACAGCACTGCTACAAAACAACGCCGAGCAGGTAACGGCTCAGCCACATTCCCCGTAGGGCGTCATATGAATTTGATGTCGTAGAATTCTTCAAGCAGGCTTTGACAGACCTGATCTTCGACAAGAATATAATGCAGCTTTTTAAACGACAGTTGAATTTTGTATGACATATCCGCGACTTTTCCAAGGATGCCTAAGACGGTCGCATGAGGAATGTAACTGGGTCATTAGGGATCCCTCACAGATACAACACTTGATTACGATAATTTGACTCTTGCTTCTAAGACAAGTTATATAGTCGTAGTTCTTGTACCATTGACACTACTTGTATTAATTTTTTCTAACTTCTTTACTGTTCTTCTGTTCAAGGTGAACATAGCCTTTGAGGCGTGTAGCGTCAATCTCCGTGCCCTGGAGGCAGCTATCGAAGACGATCCTGCCTTGATGGCGAACTCAGACATGAAGCACTACCTGAAGGCGTTAGACGTGGTGAGTACAACTCTCTCAACATGCGCGCGTGAGAGACAAAGGTACACACTGTCCTTGGTGCTGAAATGGCGGTCTGGCATCATGGACCCGTTAACATGGGAACACGGCGCACTTCGAGTCTTTGAATCTGATTTTTAAACCAACCTGATTTCTAAACATTTTAGTACATACATATCAAATTAAATTTGAATCTATCTCTTTATTTATTTGTTTTACTTTTCCATCTCCATTTACATTTCAAAATGCTATTTGCACCTTGCAATCCGTGTATCCAGTAAGTCAATGTCAAATGGACTAATGGACTTGAAGGACATTGGGGACATATTGTATTTATTTTCCAGGCGTCACAGACGTGGAAGGACAGCCAGGCTGACGACGAGAGGAGAGTCCTTGCCGCGGGGGACGCACGTGATCAACACGTGCTCATCTGTGACGCCATTGACAATATGTCTCAGACACAGCCTGCTGTTTCTGACGACTTGAAAGATAAAAAAGAACAGGTGCCTCAATTCATTGACTTTCACCACTATACATGTATCTTAATTCCACGTTATATTTCTATAGTAGGTCAGAATAATAGAATAAGATGTTTTTATTTTTATTTTATTTTATTGAAATTGCAACAATGCATTACATGCGGAACAGAGGCAGCTGTTGCTGGTGTTGTGTCCCGCACATAGAAATGTATACTTGACAGCTTTTTATGACTCTATTCTGTAACTTTCAGGTGGAGGAGAGCATGGCATTCTGGGAATGGCTCATTCTGGTGGCAATAGGACACCTGGCAATCCTCAACATATCTAAACTCCTACAGGCACTGCACTAGACATCACAAGCAGTGCAGAGGGAAAACAATGTATCTCTGAAAGATTCATTTGTAAAATGTGTCTTCCTTACAACAAAAAATTAAGTTTTACAGGCTAACATGATAGAATATGGAAGATCGTTTTGCAGATCGCATGCTCCTCTCAGCTTAGAAGGCAAACATTAAAAAGTTGATCCAGCAACATGGCAAGCCTACATAAGCCTAACTTGTACATAAGTATGGTAGTACTGTATTGCAGAAAAATTAATTTCAATGAAGCTTATTTGTCACATGTCTTGGAAATATAAAAAAAGAAAATGAGATGTTGGTGGTTTGTGCTTTATTCAACTTGTGCACACTCACTTCACATGCACAACATTGGTTGAGACAGTCACCAATGCATTAGGCTACTGCTTATTAAGCTCAATTTCAACAAGAGTTAGACTTTATATATAGTGATTCAATTGATAAAGAAAGATCTCAGGATACATATCCTTCTACAATGTTTTCTCCATCCATCAGTACATCCATGACTATGGGCATATTATATCTATGTCTTCTGAGGATTGATTCAGGAATAAACTGCTACATTCTCAAAGTACTGATCACATCTGCACAAGTTTTTCATGCACCAACTTCGTAAAGGAATAATTGTATGATGATATTTCAAAGCCAGATGTGTATTTGTTCATCACAAGGGTATCACCACTACAGATATTACACCATATTCATAGGACTATTGACCAGGAGATGTCCAGTATGTAGAATGCGTGACCTTGCCTCCATTTTGGAACTTTGCCCTGTACCCCTTCTTAAAGTACTTCCTGTGCCTGATCATGTTATTCAGCGTGTTGTACACATGGCTGTAATGTGTTCCTGGCTCTCCGGTGAACTCATTGTACCTCGTGTGGTACTTTTCAAAAGGGTCGTCGATGTACCACTTGCGTGTCTTCCAGTACTTGGTGACCATCTTGTCCAGGAGGCGGTTTTGCTGATGGTTGCAGAAGACGTGTTGGCGAAGGCGGTACTTTCTCTTGGATGATTTCTTCCACAGGTGCTTCTTGTAGCCAGCCTGTGACAAACATAAGAAGGGAAAACTGGTGAGCACAAGTAAAATTTGTATCTGTAAGAAAAAGTATCAGGACATTTTCAGAACAGCCTTGCTTTGATAGATACATGTACAAACAACTATGCTTATACCTACCCTTCTCCGTATCCAGAGACCACAGTTAAGTCTATAGAAGCGTTTGATCACTGGCTTCACTGTCTTTGGGGTCCCTCTTTTCCTGCTGAAGTAGATTTTGGTTCTCACTTGTTGATGTTGAACCACTGGCTGCACAGGATTCAGGAGTGATGCTTTCCTGTAACACAAAGGCAGAAATTCTGTACCTAGTTGTTATCTAAACAATCAATAAAAGCAATAACTTCATATTCCACAAAGATTGTTTAAGTCCTTGCATGAATGATTTTGCAACCAATATAGCTCAATGAATATCCATGTGTGACTACGTTTTATGTGAAATAAACCTTCATATTCTTGAACAATTTATGGCTTACCTCCCACACAAGGATCCAACAATAGGGTGATGCAGTGCACTACTGTTTGTATGCACATTCATGCGCTGTAAACATCTGCCCAGTGCACCGGTCTGTGCCCCTGTAGATGTCTGAACCTTCGGACTGAAGACAGCCAAACCTCTGCAGACGACTGGCGAGGATGGTGTGATGTTGCTGTGATGTGTTGAGAGTTGACGAAACCCAGGTACACGATATAATGACCGCATCCCACCTTTTCAAACAGTGGAGGAGTTAAATTATAATTTTGACACATGTCCATGTATAAAACATTTTCGTACACGCAGCCATGCAAATTATGGTTTTGCTAATCAATATCCCGCTTTGGGTACCCAAATGCTCACAGTACAATTCCGGTGCTTTCCAAGCTACATCTACATAATTATGACTGTCAATTCTGCTGCTGTATCTATTCATAAACCTGGAAAATAACGATAAATCTTACATAGCCGCAACCTCGCCAGGAGCGCCGCCATTTTGTGTGACCTGTACTTCCAGAGGTCAAAGGTAAAGGTTATGATATGAAGAAACATCCATTTTCGCCGCTATGCGTGATGAGATCATGAAAAAATTGAAGAAGCTGAACACAGATCTAATCTATCTGCAAGACAAGTGAACACTCATCTACTTATCCGAGCTTTTCACGAAGAACCATTCTCTACTGTAGAAATACCCATCTGCTTCTGAGATATTCTATTTTTTCAGAGGGGGAGCTATATTTCACAGTTATAAAGAAGAGCTCTTTAAAGCATATTTATGGATGCAATCTGAATAGATATTCACGTACATAATGAATAATAGTCTGTTTAGCATACTTAGTCATTTGTTGGTAAATATTAGTTAGTTTCTTGACAAACAAAAAATAACTACCCTCCCATGTGGCCGATTCCATTTGCCCTCCTTTCCGCCATCTTGTGCGCCGGAGTTGCATGGAGGTTTTATAATTTTGCGGAGAGATGAAGTGATTCTGCGACTTCACTAAAGATGTGGAGAGCTTCTCGACGGGTTCCAAGCAGAATAAAGGTTTGTAGAGTATTAAAAAATTGTTCTTCTCAGCCAATATGCACTTTTCAAGGAATGGGAATAAGATATAAAATAGGTCACGTTTCGATCGGAAAGGACTCAGGGGAGCGACCTGTCTGTAGCGTGACATGTCCGTGAAACAGTTCCATATATAAAAGGACCTGTCCGTCTGTCAAACCTTGTATCAAAAACAAGCTTTCCCTCAGTTTTTGAGAGCTTATATTTACGTATTTGATCAGAATATTGAGTCAACTTGATGTACCATAATATGTTAGATAATTTTGATTATTATATTGCTATTTGGCACCTTCACGGTTTGCTAGTTTGCTCTACAAAATAGTAGTGGTACAAATCCTTTGTTAATCAATATTGGGGTATCATTATTATGGCGCAGGTGTGCACATGTATATCCTCTCTCCCATATTAGTGAAATAGCAAATGGCTCAAGGAACAGAGATTTCTTATACTTCTAAAGACGATGTAAAGCATATCAAATCTGATGAAGTCAGGAAAAAGCTGTGATTTATTGTGGAATATCCATATGCATACATAGGCAGGATCCTAGAAGACTATACTGGTTACCACATGGAATCTGTCATCAAATATTCATTGTAGACAGACAAATAACAAGTTTTGTGAAACTCCCATCTGTACCTACATGTACATTTCTATATAATGTACTGAAAATTGATATTGCAGAAGAAATAAATTCCTTTATTTTGAATCCCATGTTATGCGAGACAAGATGATTTTGATATTATGTATTTCTTATTTCTGCCATAGTGCTTGAGCCAAGGTAGGCCCACAACAGGCCGTGCACAGCAGCCCTGCAGAAACTATGCAGAAGAAGGAGCGGACAAATCAGCCAAGGCAGCACAAGCCAGGTTACAAGCAGTTGGATCCCTGCCTTCTCAAACGTGAGGCTCTATACCCCATACATACCCCCGTCTCAGTCCCATTTGGCATGACAAGCCAGCTGACCTGAAAGCTGTATCTTCAAAAGAGATTCAGTCCTGCTGATTCATCCCAAGTACAATTGGTGTTTCTGTTTGTTTCTTACAACAATACAAGGACATTATAATATACATACATGATACTAGTAATGTCCTTGCAGATTGGTTTTTGTTTTCTTGCTAAATAGCTTTCAGGACAGCCCAAAAAAGTGTGATCCCATTTGTAGTCTTTGAACAACACAAAATGTTTGTGTACTAGTTGGCCTTGTGTGCTTGTCCACTAAAATCAATAAAACAACAAAATTATATGGGTATCTGGGTATATAGCCTCTGGAAATGTTCATGTACATTGAATTGCTGTATTTTTTAAAATCAATATCTTTTTGACGTTTTATGTTTGACTGTTGTCATCTACGTTTTGGTGGCATATTTCTTAGGATGCCATATTATAACTATAGTCATTGTTGCTGACTAATTATAAATGTATCAAATGTATTTGCAAGTTGCTTCAATTCAGGTACAGTTTGAAGAGTCTGTATCTATCATTTGCCTACAGTGTATGATTATTTTCAATTGTCTAATTCTATACCATACAGCTGTACCTAACCTTGATCTGAGTGTTTCTCCTTGCCCCACAGCTCCGGTGGAGGTGTTGGTAGGACTGTACTTACTGCGACCTTAGCTGTGGGGGCCGGGGTGGGAGGGCTGACGGTGTATGCCAAGACTAGCCCAGAATTTCGCAGAACTCTTGAGGGAAATATCCCATATGCCAGGGAGTACCTGGGAGCTGTTCTGGATCGGTAAGCTACATGTAGTTGTTCTACATATTGTCGCATGTCCAAACTTAACCTAGTCTTTACTCTCATTCTCAATTACATGTACCGGTAAATGTAATTTTAACATCTCAATAATTGCTTTCATTTGTATTAGTTTGTATTGTTCATTAGTTTGTAAAGCTAACAATACTTCTTTACCCTTTAGAGGGCCCAAGATGCCAGACCTGGGCCTTGGAGGAGTGGTGGACAAAGCCAAGGGCATGGTGGGCATGGGGAAGAAAAAGGAGGAGGAGCAACCAGGGGTAAGGCTGCAATGTTGTACACTCAAACATGACACTGAAAATAACAGCAGTGATCAATTTGGTTCATTAGATGGTAGTTAGTTCCTTCCTGTCTACAAACAACCTTGTTGCTGCACCTTTACAACACATACCTCCACTCCAATATTACAGCACCTTTTGACCAACAGTCTTTTAATACTCTTTCAGTCTTTCCTACCCAAGTTGTCCAAGTCAAAGGCAGAGGAAGAGGAGAAGCAGAGAAAAGTAGCTGCTGACACTGCTGCTCAAGGTATGTCCACAGAAGTATTTTTGGAGGCGGGGGAGTTGTTTTGTCTCCTTGCTTTGAAACTTGATGGCCATGGTCTCTCCTATACTTGTAATGAAATGTTTGTAATTCTATCCTACTTTTTTGCTAGTTAGCAGCAGTAATGATATTGATTTCACAGAAACTCAAGCTAGAGAGGTTCAAGAGTTCCAGGTTGTGACCACAGTGTCAATCTCATCTGTTAATTGTACCGTGCTTAGTGATGGATCAGCCTACATCTATGGAATAGTAGATTTCTGGGCTAAGCCTAAGTGCATACAGATTGGTGTCAATTACAAAAATCTACCATGCCAGCTCTTATATAAACATGTCACAAGTAAGATACAATAAACATCCTTCTGGCCACACACCTAGCTATAGCCTATGGGGTCGACCAACCCTATCCTGCAGAGGCTAAAGAACCCTCCTCCCCTCCACCGGTCAAGTACATACCGACATATGAAAGGGGCAAAGGAAAGGATGAAGAGTCATCAGCCATTGGTTTGTGTTTGATCCACTGAGTGTTTGATGTTGTGTAGTTGGTAGCCAGCTTGTGTGAAGGGCATGCTGTGTGACACGGAAATAAACTAACATGCTGGAATCTGTGATCTTGTGTGAGTTTTTTTGTGGTGCAGGTTTGTGCAGGGGTGTTACTAAGTCAGAACTAACAGACTGTTTCTTGTGATTTATTAAAAGTAACCTGTGAAGCATATATTGATATGTGAAAGAAATGCACTTTGATTCGTTTGAATACTCTGTACTCTGTAGTTAGGGATTTCTCTCATGCTGTGATGACATGTGTTGGTACATTATTAATTATTGGGGAATGGCACTAGAGGCACCTGAGTATTGCTACATGATACTGTACTGACAGAAACTAGGCTAAAACTGACACAAAACAAAGCATGATGACATATATTTTGTCAAATCCATGTACCTCTTGTTTGAATGGTAACCAAATCCCTACAGTACTGTACTCCCCTACTCCCCTTTGATACCTACATATGAAATGTGTTTGAAGCGCCAATGGAGACACCCACTACAACAGTACAAGTACTCTAGAAACCCAGAAGTTGGGGGAAGCATCAACGGCAGGGACAGCAAAACCAGTAACCACAAGCTTAAGTGTGTTAAAAATAATCATGTGGTATCTATTCCTGCACATTTTGAAAAGCTCATTGGTCCATGGGGTGTATACATTACAATGTACATGCATGTTTATAACATGTAGCTAATCCCTCACCTCAGCCATCTCTACATGCTAACTTAGCTTTTCAAGTGTGTACAGCCATGTTATCCTATGTAGAGCACTTTAAAGCAGTTTTTTATGACTGTACATAACTTTTCATTAACAGCTCAGTTGTACACTAATGCATATGTTTATAATTTATATCAAAGATGGCAAGTCACATATATTACAAAGAAATCTACATACAAGAATTTAGAGATTAGTGTTACACGTACTTCTAGTAGTTTGGACTACATGTATGTTTCACATAATAAATTGAGTGCACATTTTCCCCTGGAACAGTCCCAGAGACAGCAGTTCAGCCCCTCCCTACAGAAGTGTCTGAAGTCGCTGCTCCTACAGACGCCAAGCCTCGTGAAATCCTAGCTGAACCCATAGCATTTGGTTTGTTACTTTTTATGCAAATGTATGACATTATTATTTCATTTTAAACACAAGAAATTTTTCTGTCCCACCCCCACCTTATTTTACCTCCAGCCACCATCTGGTCTCCCCTTATTTCACAGATATGTATCCTCTCACCTCTCAGTCCAATCAATAACAGAGAATCATTCTCTTCTGCACCCTGATAAAGATGATAGTCTTATGATTATATTGTGAATCAAAATGAAATGATATCAGATTTGCCCATAAAATAATGATCTCTTAATTTATTTACAAATGCTATATATGAATGTCACATAACTAGAACACAATGTCTATCAAATTGTGTAGAATGAATCAGAACTGATGCAAGTTGAAGCTGATAAACTAAGCAATGTAACTTTGAAAATACTATTATATAATAGTAAATGATACTAATTCTGGGTAGGAAATTGAAAAAATGTGAGAATTTGATCTTGTTGCAAATTATCACAAAGATTGATTAATTCCCACCTGATGTAGGTGTGGCTGCCGTTATGGGACGCCCGCAGTCTACACCACAGAAACCTGTGCCTGAAGCCCCTCCAGAGAAACCCCCTGCTCCTGAAAAAATGGATCAGTCCACAGCAGAGGCTGTTGCATTTGGTTGGTTTACTCCCCACCTGGGGGAATCTGATACCCTGTAGAGTTGTAGAGTGGTTTCTGAATAAGGTTCATGCTTAGTTTGTAGTGAAGAAAGATAGGTTCAAACTAGAAAGGCCAATATTTGCTTAGGAGCAAATACAGCGATGGCTTCACCACCTTTTACGACATGGTAGGGAAAGAATGAGAAACACAAGGGAAAACAATGATTTACATTGATATAACTATAATATGAAGTAACATACAACTAAAACAACAGTTGGATAGCTATTCCCTACATTATTGGTTAGGATTTTTAATTGCATAATGCAAACTGTTGATTTTCAAATAAAAAAAACGTTCATGCCCCGCATTCCAATGCTGGAGCAGGAAAGCTTGAAATACCTACCAAAACACTTGAATACAGACATACTGTCAGTATGAAAATGCTCTGTGCAGGTGTTAATCAAGTTAAATCCCAACAGCCAATCAGCAAGAAATGCTCTGTGCAGGTGGAAATGCTGTGTGCAAGTGTTAATCAAGTTAAATCCCAACAGCCAATCAGCAAGAAGAATAGAGGAAAGCTGCATGCCTATTGGTTGATGCCCTGCATTCCATTGTGATGACTCATGCCCAAACGTGGTACACAGCACAGTAATACATTTGCTATAACACAGCCAAAAAGCTCAAATAAAACCATTCTAAAAGCCTGTATCACAAAAATTTAAAAAACGCCTGGGGGTATTTGCCCACTGTACCTCCATACCAAATTTCAGGACCTTGGGCCCTAAAATGAAGAAGCTGAATCCATTTTAAAAATGGCAGGAGAAGAAGGAGGAGAAGAAGAAGAAACATCAGAAAAAGCAATATGGTTTCACCACACCACTTCGTGGTGTGGTGAAGCCATAATGATAACAATAATCAGATCTATTTATTATTAGCTCACAGCATGGGTTTTGATAGTGGTGCTTGGTGTGGCAAAACTGGCAATGTAGTACCACAAACATGTAGTGACCTAGTTAGGTAAGGTGGTTAGGATTGGGGATATATGCACTGTTGTTAGCTAGCGCTCTCATGATCACGTGACACCATTGAAAAATCTACGTAACATTCACCATGCTGTCCTTTAACCAGTAGAGAATTTCTCGCAAAATGGCTAGTTCTGTGTGCTTAAGGTTAAAAAGCAAAACTTACTAACTTACAGATCACATACTAGAAACACAGTTCCAAATAGACAGTCAACAATTCACCAATGTCATGTGACATGATATGAAGACCTGACGTCCTTCATGTTACCTGCCCTATCTTTTTTTCATGTTCCATGTATCTTCATACCTCTGTCCTGTTTTCCTAGTTTAGGTTGTTAGGTAGTCTGAAATGTTGTGCATTGTCTGCTTTTAAAACTGTCACTATCCAGCAGATTCTGCAGATAAAGATGAAACCCTGATAGGAGATACAGGAACTGGGACAAAAGTCATCAAAATCCAAGATAACAATGAGGAGTGCCCAGCTGAAGTTGTTGAGGCCCCAGCACAAGTTCCTAAAGCAACTCCAGAAGGAGTGGAGGTCTACAGAGATACTGAGGAAACCAAGGAAGGAGTTATGGAGGAGATCCAGGAAGTCTGGTCAGAGGTGGAGAAAACACATGAAGAAGACAAGGATGTCCAAACCAACATTTCTCCAGGTAGCAGAAAAGTTGATGCAGAAGTGAGGGAAGCTGTAGACACCAGGGAAGCTCAGACAGATAAAAGTGTGACCACAGAAGTAGATGCTGGAACCTACACAGATGTGTCAGGAAAGGCTGACTCACAAGTGGAGCAAGTTAAAGAAATAGAGGAAAACATGGAGGGAGATAAAATGCATGCTGAGGAGAGCCAAACAGAAGTAGAGTTGACCCAGGAATTTGTAACAGAAACCCACACATCTACAGCAGAAGTGGAGGTGACCCAGGAAGCTGTAACAGAAACCCACACATCTACAGCAGACGTCCCTGAGGTTACCCAGGAAGCTGTGACAGAAACCCAGACATCTACAGCAGAAGGAGAGGTGACCCAGGAAAATGTAACAGAAACCCACACATCTACAACTGCAGAAGTTCAGACAACACAGGAGGATGTAACAGAGGTCCACACATCTACAGAGTCAAAGATGCAGGCACCTGGCACTCCTGTCAAGGAAAATAGTACAGGAAAAGAAGATACCATAACGCAAGAAGAAACACAAGTAGACACAGTCCAGGGACAGGAGCAAGACATCGCACAAACTGCTCCAGTCAAACTTGTGGAATCTGGTGATCAGCTGCAGGCACAGACCATGGCAGAGGCAGCCACGCTCCTGGCTCAAGCTGCAGCCAACTTGGCAGAAGTACTGGCTGGTGGTTGGTTCCTTCAGATATACCTGTACCTGTACTATACAGCATGGTGTGATCATGGATGACACCTTGCATGGTTTTCTGTCCCATGGTTCTGTTTCTGTTCACCCATAAAACCTGACCCTCCCAGTGGACTCTACATTGTGTATATGAAATATTTTCCTCTTTATTCCTCGTCCTCTCCTTCAATTCCTTGGTAGAGTAGACAGCTGGACAGATCTAGACTCCTATTTGCTCTTCCAGCAGTGCCTTGGAATGATGTTTGTCAAAAACCTGTCAACATACAAGTATTCTGTTATAAAGTAGCATTTCCCAGGCATTCTATGCTATTAACATAGCTGACCACAATCACACAATCTTGGAATTGATTGTTTCCTGTAGTCCTACACGTACATTCCAACATTTACACATTTGCCCGTTGTAGATTTATAATAGGATGCACACATTCTTTATTCAAGTACTGATACTGTGTGTCCATGACGTCCAATACTCAAGGTACCCTACATACCCTCAGTCCTAAATATTGAACTCTTCTCCCCTCAACAAATGTACTAATCCTGTTATCTGTGTATTTTCCCTGTTTGTGCTTCCTTGACAGCTGTATTTCCCTCCCCAGATGACAGAGGAATCCCTGATCCAGTCAAATTTCCTGTCCTTCCATCAATTAAAGTCATACTGAGCTCTAACAACCTTCATAGTCCAAGCTATATGTACATGGCTAATCAAGTCACAATTGCAAGTCCTTCCCTGTATGTGTTCTTATGACTACTACAGATCACAATATGACAGATGAACCTCATCACTGACAGCAAGCATCAGAGTATCACAGGGTTTCAAGTCAACACCATACATGTAGCTGATTGTCATTCTCCACTAATCAATGCCTTGTTTTTCCTTCCACAGCCGTTTCTGTCGGTACAGAAGAGCCCATGCCTGTGGCAGCTAAAGAACCATCCACTGCACGAAAGGAGCCTGCTGCAAAGGGTCCTGTAAAGGCAAAGAAGCCGGTGGGAGTGGAGAAACCTGAAGAGACAGCTGCTGCTGGTAAGTGAAATAGGTCTCACACAAAAGCAGGATTTTCCCTTTTGCTACCCTGCCTTAGGCTCCAGTCTTCAGCCTTTAACATTATGTCCCTTGAAAGGGAAAACATGATGCTGTTCAATTCATACACAAGTGATAGTGGTATCAACTTTTTTATGTAAAAACTGTATGGTACCTATATGCAATACCGATAAAAGTTACGTAAGCTCTGCTTACATAAGCCAAACCATCCATGATTCTGAACAATAGCGAATGTAAGTGGTGTAAGTAATCACAAGTTGGCGTGTGCCATGTAGAACAGATATAGTGGCCTTAACACTATAATTCCAATGTTGATGCTCAGAGTAGTTTGTATGATTGAATTACATTGCCCACTAGTATGCTGTTTACTGTGGAAGATACATGCATAATGTTGTGACATCTTTCAGCCATTGCAATCGGTATGGATGAGCCGCTGCCCCCAGAGTCCAAGACTGAGCCAAAGGCCAAGAAGAAGGCAGAGGAGAAACCTGCCTCCAAGAAAAAGGCCCTGAAGGAGAAGGCTGAAGACACTGCAGCTGCAGGTGGGAGCATTTTGATAGACATACTGTGATTGTGAACCTTGAAACTTGTGCAGTGGTTTTGTTTTCCCAGTAACCTCACTCAACTCACTCACTATCCAAGCTTTGCTCAACTGCAAATATGCATTTCCAATGTATTACTACAAGAAACAGTTACTGTACTTCAGAACTGTTTCAACTGCAAGTTTCAAACTCCTAGAAATAAAACCACTGCAAAAGTAAAGGAATTTACAGTTAAACCCAGTTGTAATGCTGATAAATTGTTCACAGAAAATGGCTTGTCTCATTTGGTCTAGAACTGTTTTTTCCACATTTGATTTACATGTAGTATCCTTCTTTTTCTTTACATGTACCTTGTTAATAAGTTAACCCTATTGACAAAACTATAATGGCCTAACAAAATGCCCTCCACATATGCTCACTGTCTTAAATGTTACGTACCATAACATTTTGTGAACTTCTTTTTTGTTGTCATGTTAAGTTTGCTACAAATGTAATGGCATTTACATGCAGCACACACACGTATAAAAGTCAGAGTTACATTCTAGCTGTAGCAGCTGGAATGGACGCACCCATACCTGCAGAGGCTATGACAACATCTGGAAAAGGGGTCACCGGTAAACATGTCACTAAGGAAGGAAAATTGGTTGAAACACCAGAAGACACTGCTGCTGCTGGTTTGTGTGCGCTTCTAATCTAGGCCACCTTTCCCCTGCCAGATATCATGAATGCATGATCATATGGATAATATTGCATGCTACAAGTACTGCAGCCCCCCCTAGCATGTTACAGAGGAACTGCTCTGTGTATGTGCTTGATTTGGGTCAATGGGATACATACATGTTCCAGTGCCGAGTATCAAATAAATATATGAAAGCTTTTAAAATGCAAGGACATTTATGTTTCAACAGAACGTACAATAGAAATGGAATGAATTTTACTCTGAGTATGAATGTTTTTTTTTTTAATACAGCTTAAGCCTCCTTTTAGTATTCACGCACAATATCAATTTAGAGCAAATAGGCAAACATTTATTTTTGTCTTACAGCTGTAGCAGCAGCCTTGGACCAGCCCTTTGCTACTGAGGCAAGAGAGACCCCTATGAGATCTCCTGAGGAAGTGCAGGCAAAGATCCTGGAGAAGGAGATAGATGATCTTGCAGACAGGGCTGGTAAGTGCCTTCATTTTAGCCCCCAAGACAAAACAGGTCAACAAAATAGCGTGTAATTTGTAAATGTGGTGAGACAAAATTTAGAGCTAAGATTTTTTATGCACATGCAGCCACTCTCTCATTGGTTGAACCACTAATTGCCATTTTTTCATTGGTTTAACTGCTAATTGGGATGGACTTCCACTTTGTTTCTTCTATGAGACATCTACAATGCTACAGTTGTTTATTTTACGCTGTTTTCCCTGCTGTGTGCAGCCACCGTTGCTATCATCCACCATGAGCTGGAGGACCTGAAGAGGACAGCCAGCTCAGCTGTCCATGCCCAGGAGGAGGCCGCTCACGCTACCAAGATGCACTCTGTACAGATCAAGCATGCTATGGACGAGAACACGGTAAGGACAGAATATGTGGAGCCAAACAACTGCTGCTGTAACATCTTGCTACCTTTATGTCAGAGCTGTTGTGAAACATTATATCTAGTTAACATATTGATATATACATGCAATACCATTGACATAGAGTTGTCTATTTCTGTGTCCTCTAGAGTGGTCCCCTGGGGAAAGAAGAACAGTGGCAGGCAGTGACAGGGGCCAAGGAAGCCAAGGTGGATGCTCTCAAACTGGCAGAGGCATCTGCCACTGCTGCCAGGTAAGAGGATATCTTGGTTTTGCAGGGGTATATGCTTTATATACATGTCATATGCTTTGTATACATGTATCAGTGTATGATTGCATATTGTTCAGGGTCATAATGGAATGTTGTGTAATGTATTTCAAAACAAGACTATTTGACAACTGTGGTTGAATGTAATCAATGTTGCCACAGTCTTATCACTCTCCAGTTTTTAATTGATTCCTATGCTATTATTCCACTTGTGTGCAGAGAAAACCTGGAGAAAGTGCGAGCTGTCATCAGAGAGAGCAAGTCGTCCCTGTCAGAGCCTGATCAGGAGATCCTGGCTGCAGAGGAGGAGCTGTCCAAGCTGGCGTATGAGCTGGAGACTGCTGTTGGAAAGGTGGGTGCTTTGTAAGGGACTATCCCTGAAACTTTTGTCACAGTGCGGTCACACTCATGGTAGGTCTTCTTATCATTTTGATGCTGTAGAATTTTCAAGCACTAGTGACAATATGGACTGCTAACACAGCTTTTTGAATAACAAGACAGCTGTATTTTGTAGGACACATGCCAACTATCCCATGAATGCATTCATGATCAGTTTGCAATCAAACAACATCATGATGAATGTGACAGGTCCCTGAAGGACTAGAATTTCTTTGAAACCTTGGTTCTGTCATGCAAAATAGATCCTCCATGGTATGAAAGTAAGGAGGGATTGTTGAAAATTGAGTCAGTAACAATAGGTGAGCAAATGTGAGGTCTGCATGCACCAGGACTGGTGTACTGAGGAAGTGTCCCGTTGTTGTGCTTTAGGTGGCAAAGGCCCAGGCCGATGCCCAGGTGATGCAGGATTACCAGGCTCTGGTGGAGCAGGGCAGGAAACAGTTCAAGAAGGAACTGGAGAGCATCATGCCTGATGTCAAGCTGGGCGGATGGAGAGGTAAGCTGACGGAAAACAGGACAGTCAATTCACACACATTCCAGTATACAGTGCGCCTAGTGCCAAAGGTGATGTACACATTTCATGCAGACTACGTGACCAGGAGTACATCATCATGGTTGACTAGGTGGTACATGTGCACACATATATTTAGTGATTGTAAAAATTTAATGTATCTAAGTCGACTTACAAAACAACAAAGGTAACCATAATAAATTTTTTTTCCCACCCCCAAGCATTTATTACCTCCGGGGAAGGAGATATCCTTCCGCGAGGAGGTTTTACTATTGTTCGAAACATTTCTGTCAGCAGCTGTTTCTCGCGATCGGCTGGACGGATTTGTCTGTGGTTCGGTATACGTATTGCTGTTGGGCTGCAGATGATGCAGAACGTTTTTGTTTAATTGTATATGTGTTTATGGGCGTGGAAATAAAAGGTTTTTAAGTGCTCCGGACACCCCCGCCATGCTGAAAATGGAATTTACCATGTTGTTAAGGAATGGGGAGGTTTCAGTTTTGGGTCTTACCATTTAAAAGGGGTCAAACAGAGGGGTGTCTGGTTCCGATAAAAACGTTGGGTGACGGCGCAGCAATGACGGCGGGGGTAATGGCGCGGGTGACGCTGAACGCTGGGTGCAAGCCGAGTCAGCGCTAGATCTTCGTGTCGCGGCATTTATTTCCAGAAATACGGCAAGTACGGCGCGTAGCTAGCATGGCAGCAGCCAGCAGAAGCGGTGGGCGGGCGGTATGCAAACATGACGTATCCGCGTTACGCGTCTCTGATTGGTTGTTCGCTTCAGCTGAGATCGCCGGGCGGCAACACGAAGGGCGCGGGGACGCGATTTTTCTGTTTGAAAATATGCACTAAACGCTGTTTTCCAGGACTGCATGGCCACATCTAGTGAAAAAGTGCACAATTAATATAAATTTGGGGGGAAATATTTGTTCTTTGTCGATTTATGGTGTCGATTTATGGAACCCGGAAGTGCAGCCGAGACCAGCGCGCAGCGTAGACCAGCGTGGCAGTTTGACGTGTACGATCAAAACATAAACAAAACTCCCGCTGAAGAAGGGAAATTATCCTGTATGTATGCATTTCAGATCCCAGTGACTATGTTTACGATGGGAATAATTGTGGATACGCACGATGCGCACGATAAGCCTCAGAAATTTATGTCGCAAGTGGGGCATTCTATAGGCTTGCACGGCCAATGTCTGGCACGCTACGCGGCGTACGTACACTGCTGCACATCACAGCCAGCGATTCAGTGTCTTAAAATATTTTTTAACATCAGTATAACAATATTTTTAAGCATATGTGATCAAATTCCTGTAAAAAAAAAAGTTGCACAATTGTAAACATAAAACATGAATAGATCGCTGCTATACTGGGCGTACCATTTCGCGTACATGGCCGGCTGCCCGGCGCAAATACTGTCCCGATTTTTTTACCATTTTCGCATGCGCGAAAAATGGTAACTCAGACGAGATTGAGATTGGATCAACGGATGGATGGATCAACGGTTCCACCCTTCAACGGCCATGCAGACATGCTAAGTCACCGCATGTCGCTAGATGTCGTTGTTGCGACGGCCATGCAGACATGCTGAGTTGCCGCATGTCGCTAGATGTCGTTGTTGCGAGTGCACTTTTTACCATTTATGCCTTGGACGTTTGTATACTTTCCATTATGGTTGCTAATTTCAAAATCATAGTTCTATTAATGTTGCATAACAAAGCTGCTGACAAAACAAACTTAATTTGTCTTGAACAATAACTTGATTTTATTATTTGCCAAAAATGTTGATAAAGACATGTCTATAATCAAGGATTCACAGTAATCAAGGATTTTAATAAACTGCATAAATTATGTCAATGAGCATTAGCAGTGTGGATTAGTCTAGATGTTCAGATTTCCATTAGCCGGCAGTCCAGAGGGTCACACGTCCGACCAATCAAGGCGCTGCAGGCAAAGCTTATTAAAAGCCTCCTTTTCAGGCGTTCCCGGATCGGTGTTTTTGTGTGTGTGTGTGTTGGGGGGGGGGTGTATTTTCTGACCAAACGTAGATCGCACGCAATAGAAGCTCCGGCCTACATAGCTGTCTGTGGAACTATTTATATTACCTGGGTGCCTAACTTTCACCAACATGTCTTTTGTATTTTAGGAAATTAATTAATTAATGAGTGAGTGTTTAATTAACTTAAATAGGTATTGCATTGTTTGGCAAGGTATTTTCCATTGACAATTTTTAATAGATCAGGTTGATCAAATGATATAATGTAAACAATTATATATGATTAGTAAAAGATGACTTTTGAAGTTCTCTTCGAGTATTATTTTAGGGTTGAATCAGGGTCAACGCGAAAAAGATCATGATCCGGTGATCGACATCATGCCCCCCCCCGCACACTTCATGTATTCAGTGTTCTAAATACCCGTCTTCAGTCTGCAATTTGCAGATAGATTTTCAAGATTTCAGGATAAAAATTACACAATCTGCAATTTGAAGAATGAAAAAAAAAACTATAGGTCCTCACAACTTCATATTCCCTTTGTTTGACCCGCCCGGCGCCCAAATCCCGCTGCGATTCAAGCCGCGGCGGCTTCCCGAGCCATGCAAATAAACCTAGTCCTGACGCCACAGCCTCCGATTTCCACCGAGCCACGCCCCCGAGCGCATGCCGACAGCGA